GCAGGGAAGATCCTTATCCAGTCTTATCTGTGTTATCATTAAAAAGCAAAAGCAGCCTCTGGACACACTCAGTGGGCTTTACCTTCAGTGGTTAGCTGGCTAACCCTATACTTTTCGGGGTTTGATTTTGGAACAAGGAATACCTAAGTTATTTATACCTTATGTAAGTGATATTTATATTGTATTTAATAAGTTGAAATTTGTTACTTTTGCGGATGACACCAATTTATTTTGTTCAGGGGAAGACATGAAAGAATTATTGAAAACCTTAAAAAGGGAATTGATGATGCTAAAAAACATGGTTTGATATTAATAAGTTACCACTAAATGAAAGTAAAACTAAACGTATGGTATTTGTTGGTGTCAGAGTAAATTGCAAAATAAAATTGATTTTAAATTGAGTTGAAACTGAAAGAATATATGAAACAAAATTCTTGGGAGTGATTATAGATCATAAACTCTGTTGGAAGCTATTGCTATTCTTTATAAAACAAGGGATAAGTTAAATAAGAAATGTTTCTATATATTATACTGTTCACTTATTATACCATATATGTCATACTGTGTAGAGGCTTGGGGAAATGCTTATAGAACAAATATAGACCCTATAATTAAACTTCAGAGAGAGCTATTAGAATAATAAATAAAGTGGAATATCCTGAATCAACCAATCAATTATTTATTCAGTCTTGCACCTTAAAATTTGTAGATATTGTGTATTTAAAAACACTGGAAATACTCATTAGAGTTAAGAATAAAAGCCTTCCTATTTTGCCTTCAATATTTTTTTTAAATTAAGAGAAGGAAAGTATAATTTAAGAGGGTTGTGTATTTTCAAAACATGTAGAGTGAGAACCAATGAACCATGAACTTAATGATGAAATAAAATCGTGTAGTTCCTTGATGAATTTCAAAAAAGCTTTAAAATATAAAATAATTAAGGATTATAATTTAGAGTAATATTTGTTTTCTTTTGTTTTTTTCTTTTCCTTCTTTATTTACTTTTTCTGTTTGCTGATATTCTGCGATATCTTATGGTTTGTTTAGGAGAGGTATAAGCCTTTGGGCTTCAGCCTGTTCCTTTTTTGGTTAATGATTGTGTGGAGTATATTGTGTGAAATCAGTGTGAATATGTATAATGTTTTGTATTGTTTTGTTTTGTTTTTGGTAGTTTTTGATTGACACAAATTGTTATGCTTTGTACGGAAGACGAGAACGGCCATGTATTTTTATTTTTTTTGTGCACTGTTAGCGCGTGATGACGACTTATTAATTCGTTATCTCGAGATAACAAATTAATTAATTCGTTATCTCATTGTTTTCTCGTGATAATTGTCAAGTCTGATGATTGCGCGCTGGTTAATGTTATCGTCCTGATTTCAGGCTACAAGAGCTGCCACTGGCTGGTCCAGGTGTCCCACGGAGGTGAAAACGGCAGATCACATTATTGATCAACGCATCAGGATGTAGGCAACTTTAATCAAGGTCTAACACAGGCAGAAATTGCATTGTGTCTTTCTGTCAGAGATGGCATTCAGATTAGTCCTCGTCATTTAAAGGAGAAGACTAGCGCGGTCACAACTTCACAGGCGAAGATTAAGTGATCCTGCTCATCGACGGGAAATCACATCATCTGCTATATGTGACGTACATGCCCTTATTTGGATAACACATTCTGGTATTCCCCACACACAGGAAGATGTTTTAAGTAGGGGGGGGCTGCCAACTGAATGAATGAATGAGTGACATCATTGTATTTTTTGACCAGACGCCCCGCATTGTGAGGGACTGCACGGCATTTCTGTCTCTTTTCACGAGTCACGCAAATTGAGACCATGTCCGCATGATTGGTTGCCACCCGCGCTAGCATTGTTGGAGTACCGTAGTACTACGGTACCTCACGGTACCACTACTGTGGGATAAGTTCAAAATCCAATCGCAAGAGGGTTAGTGTCCATGCGCATGGACACTCACCCTCTTGCGCAAGCAAAAGAAATCATTCAGCATGCTATGTAAGTACAAATTTCAACCAGCAGCAGAAATGAAAGGCAAATCCTGCCAGTTGTGGAATGAACGGGAGTTACAGATGCCATATTCCTGTCAAATATGCCGCAAGATAATTTCCTCTTTGTTGATTTCATGACTGCCCAGAAATACCTGAACAGCCGAGCCGTGGCGGCACACAGGTGTGATGAGTCAGAGGACAAACGAGCCGTTCACATTTCTCTCTTTGTGGCAGGGAACAGCCGACAAACCTCACTGCACTTTAGGGACTGTTCTTTACTTAAGGAGGGACTGTTACTTGTCAGGGGAGGAGGGTGGCTGGTTGATTTTTATTTTAAGGTCCAAGCTCCAAGGTGCCTCTTGCCTAGGGCCCCCAGAGTGTCTTGAAACAGCCCTAGTGACATACATGCCCTTATTTGGATACATCCTGGTATTCCCCACACATAAAGCCTATGGCATAATACTCTCTGGCTGCAGATGTATTCAGCATTAATCCTTCTTGCAGCATGTCTACAGAAAGTATTTTGTTAGAGACAAACCACCCATCTGTCTGTCATCTCACCTGTACTAACGTTTTGCCTAACCTTGACCAGCGAATTCATCAGCTTGTAACAATTCGCCAACAACAGAAACTGAGGCTTATGTCACAACGCTACTTTTACAGGTCACGGGAGGCACAGGTTCACGGTGCCAAGCTGAAACCCCTGATATAACATGAAACCCCAAAAAAACGTAACTCTTTTTGCTTTCAAAATGCAGCAATAAATTGTATAAAAACGAAAAGGACTCGTATGGTTAGTTTAACTCAACAACTGTAGTGTAATTAAATTAAATCAAACTCAAATTAACACTTGTCCGGCTTGGACGATTCACTCACAGCGCATCCCGCCGATACAGAAAACAAATAACCCCCACTGTGCATTTACTGCTTGTTTATTAATTCCAGTCACGTTTTATGTGTGTGAGATCCTGCTTGTGTGTGCGTGCACCTTGAATATCATATGTGAGGCTATTTCATAACTAAAATGGTGGTGAAAATATTTAACTTTGCTAGACGGCATTTCTCTGAGCCATTTGTTAAAAGGAAAAAAAATTATTTGCCGTGGAAAGAAGGCAACATAATGCGGAATTATAGGTTAAACAATCTTTGCTTCCTTTAATTTAGTTTGGATAACAGTAGTAGCCTACTGGTAGGCTAGCTGTAGCAGCAACAGCATTAGTTGCCAACAGCTGTCTTGTTTTTATTTCTTTATTACAGATATGCGACGTTATTTGGCCATGGTAATCGCCACTTGCTGTTAGTTTGCAGGACTTCTGTTTTTCTGCTGATTTTTTTTTTTTTTTTTTTTTTTTTATCAATGTACACTGTCTTGGTTCGTCATGTCAGAGGTAGTGAGTTTTGGAGTATAGACATTTGTTTGTTTTTGCATCTTCAGCAAGGACAGCGCTTAAAGTGATTCTATTATAACCGCTGCCTGCAGGCTCGGGGACATCTTCAGCACCAATGGCAGTGCTCAAACTACAGTTTCTTGTCTGTTTTTGTCATGTGGGGAATTCTACTGTTGGCCTCCTTATGGAAAAATGTAATAGAATTTGCATTTGTTAGAACTTCTTAATGTTTTATTTGTGTGTAGCTTATCGCAGCCAGTCAGCAGCCTAGTGAGTGGCGATGTGCGACGCGCTATACAGCAGGAAAAAAAATACAATGATGTCACTCATTCATTCATTCAGTTGGCAGCCCCCCCTACTTAAAACATCTTCACGTGTGTGGGGAATACCAGAATGTGTTATCCAAATAAGGGCATGTACGTCACATATAGTAGATGATGTGATTTCCTGTCGATGAGCAGGATCACTTAATCTTCGCCTGTGAAGTTGTGACCGCGCTAGTCTTCTCCTTTAAATGACGAGGACTAATCTGAATGCCATCTCTAACAGAAAGACACAATGCAATTTCTGCCTGTGTTAGACCTTGATTAAAGTTGCCTACATCCTGATGCGTTGATCAATAATGTGATCTGCCGTTTTCACCTCCGTGGGACACCTGGACCAGCCAGTGGCAGCTCTTGTAGCCTGAAATCAGGACGATAACATTAACCAGCGCAATCATCAGACTTGACAATTATCACGAGAAAACAATTTTGTTATCTCGAGATAACGAATTAATAAGTCGTCATCACGAGATAACAGTGCACAAAAAAAAAAAAAAAATACATGGCCGTTCTTGTCTTCTGTAGCTTTGTACCTTATAATGTATAACCAAAATAAATTCCATTCATTCATTCATTCATTAAATGTGTATCTACTTCCAACCTCTCCAGGTAACAAGTCTCATTAGTACAGGACATGCTCAAGGCACAACATTTAGCTTGAAATCCACAAAACCAGCCTGAAAATTCTGAAACGACTGCATGAGGGTCGATGGAGCAGAGCTGGCCAATGCTACGTTATGACTGGCCAGGCTGCATTCGAAGGGCATGATTCAGTGACGGGTCAGTTGTTCTTGTAAACATGTTAGCTAATGGTCCCAGACTAGTAAGTCCAGAATGGGTTAAGACAACTCTTGCAGTTATATAGAAGGTCTCAATGGTAATTCCTTCTTTCACTGAATTACAGCGTTCCAGGTACATGAAGATGTGCACTGTATGAACACATAAAACAATGTTGTAACTAAGTCAAAGGTTGCATTAAATGCATACTGATAAGCAAATTTCCTCATCAATGACATCAGCAGTGACTTCAGAATGAATTCTAGTAAATACAAGGCTAATTTAAAGATGAAAAGGCATGTAGATATTCAAAGGTTGTTCTTTTCAAGAGACAGTAAAAGTCACATTCAGCTTTCCACTTAAACTTGTTAAATATTTTTATAGTTAAATGACACATTTTAATTCTAAAAATGTCTAACTATACCTTGAATTAAAACTGACACTTTGTGAACTCACTGACTAAGTAAGATGTAAGCCTCCAAAAATAGCTGCCAGCAGGTGTCTTACCGGACAGTTTGTCTCAAGAAGCGGTCGGGGTCCTGGGCAGTAAAGGTGGTGAGCAGAGACCCTGCAGGCAGACCCTCCTCCAATTTGATGGACTTGGGATTGGGGCTGAACTCTGGACTCTCGTTGATGTCCAAGATTCGTACAGAGACGGTTGCTGTAGACTGACGAGGCAGGTGGATGCCACGAGCCAGCGGGACCTCATTCTCTGCCTCCACCGTCAGCATGAAGGAACGAGTTAGCTCAAAATCTATTGGCTGGACAGCAGAAGGGAGGGACAAGATGAAACTGGCATGATACACCAGATATCTAAAGCATTTACATGGGGAACATTAAGCACAATTCATGCTCACTGTGTTTGTGGAGCATCTTAGTTGCTACATGTTTAAATCATACAAATATGCTTCTCTCAATATGTTAATGAACTTAACCATATCTATCAGACTGCTTTAGGCCCCCAGTTGCATTCTGAGTGTTCATTATGTAAGCATATAAAGCTATAATGAGTGGGTAACATTAAAAACAAACAAACACATACCATAGTTTGCCTCCACAAACCTGTCAAGTTGCACTTACAGTTTGCATTAATGTGAAAATATTGATGCTTCACACACATCTTCACCCTGACGGCACATAAAATCTATACAATCAGCACAGTTTCAAGGTGAACACCCAAGATTAAAGTCACCAATTCAGTATCTGTCCAAATGTCTCTCCCTCTGCTCCTGAGATATGATATCATGGCTAGCAAAGTGTTTTATGCATAATGAGGACATTATGATATCACCGTGAAGCTGACCTCTGACCTTTTGGATATAAAGTATCATCACTTAATCATTATATCCTATTAGACATTTGGGTGAAGTTTCAGCATAATCAGCATATGAACTCATAAATTGAGTTATGGCCAAAAACATGTTTTATGAGGTCACAGTGACCTTGACCTTCGACCATCAAAGTCTAATCACTTCATTCTTGACTCAAAGTAGACATTTGTGCCAAATTTGAAGAAATTCTTTGAAGGTGTTCTTGCAATAATGAGTTCACAAGTATGAGATGGATGCAAGGTCACAGTGATCTTCGACCTATGACCACCAAAATCTAATCAGTTCATCTTTGAGTCCGAGTGAACATTTGAGCTGAATTGGAAGAAATTCTCTCATGGTGTTCTTGGGATTTACAAGATTGCACCTTGCATTTACAAGAATGAGACAAATGAAATCACCTTGGCTTTGACCTATGACCACCAAAATCTAATCTCTTTATCATTGAGTCCAAGTGAAGGCTTGTGCCAAATTTTAAGAATTTCCTGAAGATGTTCCTGAGATAATACGTTCACAAGAATGGGACATATGGATATATGCGTAGATAGCTCAGTGCACGGACAAACAGACAACTTGAAAACATAATGTACCCAGCCATGGCTGTTGGTGGCGTAGTGATATAAAAACATAAAAATTAATGGGTGAAAACCCTATGGAAGGGGCACCCTGATGGCCTGGGGCATAAAGCTGACCATGCGCAGACCAGGCAGAAAGCGGTGTTTAGCAGCCACCAGCCTTTGAAGCCTGCCTGGCACTGCCCAAGTTTAGACACCAGCACTTCAGACTCTTCGATGTGATGTTTCGTCTCCATGACATCAAGACCCCACTTCAACTGCCACACTCCGCCTCTGGTCACTCTTGCTGGTGAGACTGAGTCTGCAGTGGGCTGTGTTGCCCCCCCCCCCAACCACTCCCACTGAAGCCAGTAAGTCATCTTTGTTATTATCTTCTCACCCAACTGGCAGTGTGTTGAGGTACCCTAGCAGCAGCCACTGAAAGACGAGAGCCCCGGCTGTGGATATGGTGCAGGTTCGCTTGGAGGAGAAGAAGCACACCCCCCCTTTGACAGCCTGGTGGCCCACCTGCTTCCGCAGTCAGCATGTTGGACAGAGAGCAGGGAGCCTTTAACCACGACTGCTACATGACAGAGAGGCGCTAAAGTAGTGGTGAGTGAGTGAAGTCTGCAACAGGCTCTTGCCATGTGTGGCTGAGACTCACTCTGCCTAAAACCACCATGGGGATCTCCATTAGCCACAGCCATTACAGAAAGTCTTTTCAGATTAATCTACATGGTCACTCAGCGCTTTAAACAGCTAGAGGAGGAGAGATGGCAGTCCTATTGGCCCCTTGCTCACACACAGAAGGGAGACGAGACAAGGCATGGTACTCATGGTAGTTGGTAATGTGGTTTAATAAACGTTTTTATTAAAACAAATTACATTCCTCAAGAGCATTTCCCTCTTCTCCCTTTCTTCCTGTTTAAAGGAAGATTTACGAACACACACTTACTGATCAATGTTTGAAAAGCTCACCATCTCTCTATTTATATTCTTAATCACCATCGTAACAGAGCATCACCTCTGCATTTTTGTAACACATCCACCACCCCAACCTGCCTCCTTAAGCTCCAGATTGCTTCCTTGTAAGAAAACATACAAACAGTTTTTGAGAACAGCCTGACAGGGGAAGCGAGCCAGACTATTTGTTACACTGTGATAACAAGGATTTGGAACTGCACTCCTGTCTATTCATCTGGCGAATGTCCGCCAGAATGCACGTGATACTGCTTCTCAACAGAGCAAAGATGCAGTTTTGCAAATCTGCTGCTCTGTGCTTCACTGAAACCTGGCTTGACAAATGCATCCTGGACACTTCGCTCAATCTGCCAGGCTTCCTACTCCTCTGAGCAGACCGCAGCGCTATCGGAGATCCGGTCAGAGGTGAAACCTACTTTTATGGAAACTAAGGTTGGTGTACACGTAATAGTGTTGAAGAAAACATGCAAGAAACTTTTTCATCGGCAGTAAACTGTTTTATTCACCACAGGACTTTTCCTCCTTCACCCTGGTCGGTGTGTACTGCCCACCTCAGACGTTTGTTAATAATAATAATAATAATAATAATAATAACAAACTTTATTTGTATTGCACCTTTCTTAACAAAGTTACAAGGTGCATGCACAAGGAATAAAAATACAGTGACAATAACATGGTAAAACAACAATAAAAACAACGTAACAACAATAATGAATGAATCAGTAAAAACAGAAGGAGAAAAGAGAGCATAGATGCACTAGACTGCTGCCATTAGCAGGAATAAAATGCCTTTTTATAAAAATAAGTTTTTAGAAGAGATTTAAAATTAGATAAGGAGCTGGCTAACTTTATGTCCTCAGGAAGATCGTTCCATAATCGGGGTGCATAGATGGCAAAGGCCCTATCTCCCTTACTCACAAGCCTAGTCCTAGGTATAACCAGTAGAGTCATGTTTGAGGACCTCAAATTACCGGCTGGCTTGTAGGGAATTTAAAGCTCTGTGATGTAGCCAGGAGTTAGGTCATGGAGAGCTTTAAAAGTTAACAATAAAATTTTAAAATCAATTCTAAATTTAACTGGCAGCCAGTGAAGTACAGCTAAAACTGGAGTTATGTGCTCAAATCTCCTTGAACCGGTGATCAGTCTGGCAGCAGCGTTTTGCACCAACTGCAGACGGTGGAAACAACACTGGCTAAGACAGGTGTAGAGGACGTTGCAGTATTCTAAGCAGGAGGACACAAGGGCATTTACAATTTTGTTGAGGTCATGGAAAGATAAAAACGATCTAATTTTAGAAATGTTTCTTAGGTGCATAAAACAAGATTGAATGGTTTTCTTAATATGGGCCTCAAAACAAAGATTAGAATCAAACGAAACAACGAGATTTCTTGCAACATCTTTGACATTCACAGCCAGAGAGCCAAGACTGTTTTGGAAATGGGATCTGGAACTGAGGGGGCCAAGCAAAAGAACCTCTGATTTGTCAGCCTTGAGTTGAAGGAAGTTTTGGGACATCCAGCATTGGATGTCGACAAGACAGGCCGTGAGGGAAGCAAGACAACTGGGGTTAGAGGATTTAAGTGGGACATAAAGCTGGGTGTCGTCAGCATAACAGTGAAACTGAATGTTGTGTTTGTGGATAACCTGACCAAGAGGGAGCATATATATTGAAAATAATAAAGGGCCAAGGATAGATCCTTGTGGGACACCACAGGAGAGATAGGCAGATGATGATGAGGCATTGCCAATAGCAACAGAAAGGGTTCTCTCTGAGAGGTAGGAACGGAGCAAATTAAGGGCAGTGCCACCTAGACCTACCCAGGACTCTAACCGGTTCAAAAGTATGGTGTGGTCCACCGTGTCAAAGGCTGCACTTTAATCTAGGAGAACTAGAATTGAGGAGTCACCAGCATCTAGAGTTAAAAGAAGATCATTTGTAACCTTAACCAAGGCAGTCTCAGTGCTATGGTGGGCTATAAAGCCAGATTGGAACTTTTCAAATAAACTCTTGTTACTCAAATTAGTAAGGAGCTGAGTGGAGATCAGTTTCTCTAAAATCTTTGATAAAAAGGATAATTTTGAGATGGGTCTGTAATTAACAAGAAGATGAGGATCAAGACCAGGTTTCTTTAAAAGAGGTTGGATTAAAGCATGCTTAAAAGAGGAGGGAAAAACACCGGAGACTAAAGAGTTATTTAAAATGGAAAGGATGGTGGGACCAATGGTTTCTAACACCTCCTTTAAAAAAGATGTGGGAATAATATCCAATTGGCAAGACGAGGGCTTCATATGTGAAATAGTTTTAGTAAGAGTTAACAGAGTGGTGAGTTTGAAGGGATTGAGTGATGCTGAAATTATAGGTGAGACTGAAACAACACGGGTAGATGATGTCTAATGTTCTTAACTTTGTCCTGGAAAAATTGGAGAAAGTCTTCACATTTTTGGAGGAAGAGATGGAGGGGGGGGAATAACTGAGTTAATCACTTTAAACAGGGTCCTAGGGTTATTACTATTATTGGCGATGATGTTGGAGTGATATGTGATTTTAGCATTCTTAACAGCCTGTTGGTAAGATGCCATGAGTTGTTTTAAGCAGATAAGGTAAGTGGTTGATTTATTTGCCTTCCATTTGCGTTCTGCTCTTCTGCACTGTCTCTTAATGGATCTGGTATGTTCATTTAGCCACGGTTGTGGATTATGTTTAGGGATTCTAGTTTTGAAGGGTGCAATTGAGTCTAGGATAGACAGACAGTTACTGTTAAAATTGTTGGTCATGTCATCTAAAGAACGATATTGCTCTGGAGGACAAGAAAAGGCTAAAAGGGCATTACGAAAAGCACTGGCAGACGCAGAGTTAAACACACAAGATCAGGTAGAAACAGGGGGCTTAGACGAAGG